CGGAGCTGGAGGAGAAGGAGAAGGCGGCGGAGGAGAAGAAGGGGGCGGCGGAGGGGGCCAAGGACGGGGAGAGCGGGAAGGAGGGGGAGAAGAAGAACGGCAAGTACGAGAAGCCGCCGTTCAGCTACAACGCGCTCATCATGATGGCCATCCGGCAGAGCCCCGAGAAGCGCCTCACGCTCAACGGCATCTACGAGTTCATCATGAAGAACTTCCCCTACTACCGGGAGAACAAGCAGGGCTGGCAGAACTCCATCCGCCACAACCTCTCCCTCAATAAGTGCTTCGTCAAGGTGCCCCGCCACTACGACGACCCGGGCAAAGGGAACTACTGGATGCTGGACCCCTCCAGCGACGACGTCTTCATCGGGGGCACCACCGGCAAGCTCCGCCGGCGCTCCACCACCTCGCGGGCCAAGCTGGCCTTCAAGCGGGGCGCCCGGCTCACCTCCACCGGACTGACATTCATGGATAGGGCAGGATCCTTGTACTGGCCTATGTCCCCCTTCCTCTCCCTGCACCACCCCCGGGCCAGCAGCACTTTGAGTTACAATGGGACCACGTCCGCCTACCCCAGCCACCCCATGCCCTACAGCTCAGTGTTGACTCAAAACTCCTTGGGAAACAACCACTCCTTTTCCACGTCTAATGGGTTAAGTGTTGATAGACTAGTCAATGGAGAGATACCTTATGCCACTCATCACCTCACAGCAGCAGCTCTGGCCGCCTCAGTGCCGTGTGGCTTGTCAGTTCCCTGCTCCGGCACCTATTCCCTAAACCCCTGCTCTGTAAACCTCCTGGCAGGACAGACGAGTTACTTTTTCCCCCATGTTCCTCACCCTTCAATGACTTCTCAAAGCAGCACTTCAATGACGGCCAGGGCAGCCTCCTCCTCCACGTCGCCACAGGCGCCCTCCACTCTCCCCTGTGAGTCCTTAAGACCTTCTTTGCCAAGTTTTACAACGGGACTTTCCGGAGGACTTTCTGATTATTTCACACATCAAAATCAGGGGTCTTCTTCAAACCCTTTAATACATTAACATCCATGGGATCAGACTGTAAGTGAACATTTTACACACATTTGCATTGTAAATGATAATTAAAAGGAAAAAAAAAGCAAAACAAAAAAGTCCAGGTATTTTTTATTAAGTCCCCCATTTTCTGTACGTTTGTTCAGTCTTTAGGGTTGTTTATTCTTCCACCAAGGTGAGGAGTGTCAGCAAGGTGCAATGTGGGGAGATTACAATGTAGACTATGAAGTTTGGAAGACAAAATTATAGTAGAATGTGTATCTAAATAGTGACTGCTTTTGCAATTTTTTATTCAAATACGATAAGTCTATCACTAAAAGCCGCCAGATTCTCCATGTTTGCAGTATTATAAGTTATCATGGATATGTCGGTGGGTGCAGACCTTGAAAGAAAAAAAAACCCACTAAATTTATGAAAACTATAAAAAACTTAAAACGTAATTTGTATTTAAGCAGAATAAATACTGAAAGATGCCCAAGAACTACATTTTGGCCATTTATTATTTTATCCTTTTCTTTACTGAACTGCTTTTTTTTTTGTTCCTTTTTTTTATTTGTTTGTTTGTTTGTTTACTTTTAGACCAAAGATTGGGTTTTAGAAAATGCACTCAGTGTACGGAGTAATTTAAAAAAACAGCAACAATATTTCAGTTTGCAGCACTGCCCGTTCAAATGAATCAGAAGGGGACAAAATTAATGATTGCCTTCAGTTTGTGTTGTGTATATTTTGATGTATGTGGTCACTAACAGGTCACCTTTATTTTTTTTCTAAATGTAGTGAAATGTTAATACCTATTGTACTTATAGGTAAACCTTGCAAATATGTAACCTGTGTTGCGCAAATGCCGCATAAATTTGAGTGATTGTTAATGTCGTCTTAAAATTTCTTGATTGTGATACTGTGGTCATATGCCCGTGTTTGTCACTTACAAAAATGTTTACTATGAACACACAGAAATAAAAAAATAGGCTAAATTCATATATACTTGATAGTTTTTTGTCTCTTTTATTAACTAAAATTAATATTGCAGAGGCTTTAAAGTTACAGGGAGATGAGAGCGCTGCTTATTACAGCAGTCCACCATTTTTCATATGCTCCTTTCTTCTGCCCCCCCCCCCCCCCCTAATTGTCTTTAACAACAGTATTTTCAAATGTAAAGGATTAGGGTATTTAATTAAACACAACGGCCACTATTGTGATGTCCGTTTTGGGGCAGAACTCTTTTCAAGTCTGCTTAAAATTTGTTCGTATGAGGGAGTAAGATGTTGTACTAAAAACTCTGCCTTACGTTGAAGATGCTTAAAATTGCGTACATCTATATACACACACATATATATACATACATAAAAATTTAAGTATATATGCACACATTGGAAAAAAAAAGTTTTTTTAATCCATTACATAGATACGTGTTCTTGCAATCTCTGAAATGTATTTAAGGGATTATTTTTTCTGAAAGAAATAAATTTCGACTCTATGATAATGGAGACCTACTAGCTATGGATGTCTATGTGTGTGTGTATATACATATACATATTAGCTTTCATATGATCATTTGATCAAATTTAGCAAGCTATGATACGAATGCGTATAAAATGCAATACTTATCTTAAAGTAACGCTGTTCCGGAAGTATCTATATTACGTGTATTTATAGACTTTTAATGCTGCAAACACTTTGGCTTAAAATATTGTAAAATTAGGGATAGTTTTTCAGCTAGAACCGCTCTCCCCTGCCCCTCCGGACGGGGAAGGAGCCGAGGAGGGGTGAGATGAAGTTGCAGTGCATTGCAGGGAGGCAGAGGGCTGGAGGGGTCACGTGACGCCCTGGCTTGCATACCGATGTTTAAACGTTGGGGTTTTTTTTTTAATTTTTGGGGGGGAATAATAAAAAAAAAAAAAAAGAAGAAAAATTTAAAACCCAAACCCAACAAACCTGTGTGGATGCATTTAAATTTAAAGCTTTGAAACGGACTTCTTTTTCACTATCTCACTGCCGAGGGTAAAGCTTGCTGAAGCCCACTAACCCAGGCGAGCTGACCTGCCCGGAGAACCAACCCATTAGTTTTAAGGAGGCAACGCTTCGACTACTTTTAAGAAGCATTTAATCCTAAAAACTTTAAAGATCTGCGGATGTCCATGGTTTGCGGGGGAAAAAAAAAAAAAGAGAGAGAATTGGTTTCTTGATGAGTTTAGGGAAGCCTATAAAAGCCACAACTCTTGAAAATAATTAGAAAACTTGTGCAAAAGGTTTAGGAACTAATTGGATCCCGCGGTGAGTCCGCAGAGGACAAGTTGTTCATTTGTTACGTTTGTGTAGTCTAAACTGGGCTCTGCAGCAGTGCAATAAGCCGGCGACTGCTCACAATAGGCCCAATGAAAAATAATCTCCAGCTCGGAGATGTTATCGCAAACACTTTAAAGAGCTGATCCTAGAAAGACAGAAAAGAGGAAGAAAAAGAAAAAGAAAAAGAGAAAGAGGAAAAAAAAATGCCAGGGGGTGAGTAAAGAAGCAATAGCAAATCTGAATTCTTGCAAACAGAATATTTGTCATGCTGAAAGAATAAGGGGAGGGAGGGGAAATCTTCCGAAAATAAGCAATGAATAAACAGATGCAAGCAGATCTGCAGGAAAGAGAGAGGAGTGAAAGGTTACGGATGAGAGATGGGACACCCAGCTCTGCACTATGTGGGGGAGAAGGAGAGAAATCTCTGATATTCTTGGCTTTCACTCTCACTTCTGCAATTCAAAATTAATCATCACTATGAGAAAAAGGTTGCTTTGTTTGGGGGTGAAGAGATGATACCACCACTTGGAAGCGCCTACCCTCCCCCATATTCTTCTCTCTGTTGTCATTAAAAGAAGTGATCGCAAAAAACACTAAAAACCAGAACTCCTTTGCAACAAATCTATAGGAAATAACAAAATGAAATAGGTGTGATTTAAACTCTTGAAGCCTCGGGACCCCATTCCGTATACATGTGCCTAAGCAAGTTAAAAGAATGGCATCTGCTGCCGCTGACAAAGGCAATGATTTATTATTTACCACTTGCAATTGGTTGTATACTGTAGGAAACCCAATAGCACATACCTAAAGTATTATTTAGTTCGCAATGTAAAAAAATCCGCTGACAGTATACTAAAAGGAGGAAAAAGATAAGTCAGGTTGGAGGAAAGCACAATCTCGCCGTGTCAGAGTTTGGGGTTGGCTAATAAGCGTTAATTAGATAAGCGTGATGCATAATAATTCCTGAAAAGGGTAGCCCTGATGTATGTCTCTCTAGACTTCGTTTAAGCAAGCGCTCGCTCTTAATGCTCTCCTTTAGCTTTCCGGGTAGCAAAGTGCTGCCTAATCAGTTCAGGTGCCACAGAGTTTCCCCTCTTTCTCTTACACTGGGGGAAGGGGTGGTTGTCGAACTGGTAATTTATTCACGTTTCCATACACATATTACCAGCAATGAAACTGTCTTTGTAAAGGGGGGAAAAAAAAATAATGCTGAAGTTGTCGTGGATTGTAGCAGGACTGCCAAGGCCCCAAATATGCCTTTACCTTTGCCTGTTCCCCAGCCAGAGAAACCCTTTTGTTCGCTGAGGATGTCTTTTAGGCTAATCTTTGCACCAGCTCGTTCGGTATTGCCTGTGACATAAGTGGTTTGGTTAGGGTTTTTAAATTTATTTTTTTTTTAGTGTATTTTTTTTTTCAAGCAGGCGATAATTCTGTTATCTGATACTTGTTTCCGTGGTGGTTTATATGTGAAATCCTCAAGCTAAGCTTTTCGGATTTTTTTTTTTTTTAATACGCACATTTCTAGACTATTGCGGTGTTTTAGCGTCGTTTCTTTAGCATTTCCTAATTTAGATTGTTTATGGGGGACGGGTGGTCTTTATGGAATTAAGGAGCTATTGTTATTTTCCTAGTTGATGTTTGAGGTGATTAACTTTGCTCGCATAGCTCGTAGGAGAAGAAATCTGCTCATCAAGAAACCTCCAATTACGATTTTAAGATTGCTTTCGCAAACATGTTTGAGGGATAATAAACTGTAACTCGAATCCACAATGGGATATTTAGCCAACCAGTTTTTGACATATTTTAAATATTTTTCTTTTGTTTCAGTAAAATAACATCCGTTACGTGGAACGTATTCTTACGAAAGGGTTTAAAAGAAAGTGAACAATAATATATTTTGCCTTAAAGGGCACAAAACTGGCGTTTGGGAGAGTGATAATTTTTTTTTTTTTTTAAATCCAGTGCTTGAAAAAGTAGTTTAACCGGGACGTCATTTCGCTCTTTATAACTTCTTCTGATTATTATTAAGATTTATGTCAGAAATTATGATTCAGGTACACACCCCCTCACCACTTTTGTTAATATGAGGTCTCAATCACCACGTATTCACTATTCACTCAAGCAAAACTCCCACTGAACTCCGGTTACGTTTTGACTGAACCACATCAGAGTTTTGCTTAAGAAAGAACATTGAGTAAGACTCACCCTTTTATTAGCGCCTATATTGTTTAATTGTTCGTATTTTCCTTTAGGACAAAAAAAAAAAAAAAAAAGTCTGCCTGTAGATAGTCACTGCGATGTACTTAATTGTACTTAATCTCGAATAATACACCCGCCCAAGAAAGAAAGTATATGTGCTACATATTACAGGAGTACAAATCCAACGAATGGCGATAAATATATACATATACATATAGGCACACACACCCCTACAGAGGGGTCTATCCACGCACTAATGTCTGTAGCAGCTTCTCGGCAGTTTTGTGCAGTGAAATGTTCTTGTTTTGGAAACACACACACACACCCCGCCCCGTGGTGAAGGTGCCTGGGTAAATGGGTCAAAAAGTGGTGAAGAACTGGGTTAGAAAGAGGTGAAGGTGAAGATCATTAGAGGTTTTAGGGCTGGCTGTGGCTGTTTTGCTGGGTTTGTGTGACTGTGCCCAGAGGGCGGAGTTCCTGCACATTCCTACCTCACCGGAGAACCTGCCCTCAACTCCACTGCAGCTACTCCAGAGAGATGGGACCCTCCAGAAGAAACCTGCCCAGCAATCCCAGCAAGCCTTCCCACCAG